GGAGAGAGCAGCACTTGGAGCTACAGCTCCACCTTTAGATGGAGATCAGCATGGGAAACACCACAGCAGGAAAAGCACCCGTGGCAGCCTGACAGCTTGGATCCACACACAGTCAAGGTAGGAAACCTTCGCGGCAGTGGGGTGCACGCTGCTGGGCAGTCCCTCAGGCAGACCCCGACAGCAGCTGCTGGCACAGCTAACTGAGTGTCCCCAGACCAGACCTGCCCCTTGTGCCCTCCAGCAGCTTTCGAGCAACATCATTTTCCCGTTTCAGAAAAACCCTCATCCAGTGTAACGCCGAGAGACACCTCTCCTGCTCTCCCAGACCCTCTCCTCTTTCCTCGGGATGTTTACACCTCCCAGAAACCCTGTCAGCCTTGACCCAGCTGTCCCTGCTGCCCCAGAGGGTGATGTTTGTCCACGCTGCCACCACCCTCTGCGGTCCAGAGGCCCCAGGGGGCTGTGGGGACCTGCTGCCCTGCAGAGGGGACACGGCCAGACCAGGAGGCATCTTTCCAGCTCCGAGGGGCTGCGGAGATGCCTGTGGCGTTGATGCACCTGACGCAGGCTCCAGAGGAGGATCAGAGCCCGGAGGAGGAAGCTCAGGTGGAAGTGGGGGATATGAAGGGAGGAGTTCCCCAGTGGGGAGCACCCAGGCCTGGGGGACAGAAGGGAGGTGGAGGGGACAAGGGGCAGGTCCGGGGGGCTGTCAGGGAGGGGTGGCGATGCCCAGCCGGCGGGCAGGGATGCGGGCAGCCAGCAGGCAGGCCAGCACGATGCCCACGAGCTGCAGCAGTGCCAGCCCCAGGGCCGCCGTGGCAAGGTAAAACATGTTGCCGCTGACGAAGGCCAACACTTTGCTGAAGCAACCGTCGCGGTGCAGCCCGTGTAGGTTGGGTGGGCTGGGCTGGCAGCCCCGGCGGGCCTGGCAGCAGCTGAGGGGCACCGAGCCATTTTGCTCCGGCCCCCAGGGCAAGGCGAGCCAGTCCCGGTAGCCCTCCACACCGCAGCAGGACAAAGCACGCTGCAACGCGTCCAAGGCATCCGCCATCTCCTCGTCCTCCCTGTAGGCGAGCAGGGCTTGGTGTAGCCCTTCCTGGAACCCCTGGGCGACGTTCTGGCGGTAGAGGAGGGCTGAGAAGCCCGCCATCAGCCCAGCCACCAGCACGGCAGTCAGGAAGGTGCCGTAGGCACGCAGGAGGCTCCGGTGCTCCGTGGCAGCGCCGAAGCAGCCCAGGAAGCCCCAGATGATGACGGCAGTGCCGGTGGCCAAGAGGATGGCAGGGGCGCTGGGGTAGTCGTTGGCCGACAGCAGTAGGTAGGTCCCCAGAGACACCTTGGCCCAGAGCCCGATGATGAGCATGGTCAGCCCCGCTGCCCAGAAGATGAAGCTGAAGGCCATGAGGGACAGCTTGAGCATGGTCATGGCGCCCTCAATCCCGGGCACCGGTGGCCCGTGGTGGTTGTGTCGAGGAGGATCCCGGAGCCCTCGGTGCCACCGGGTGGTGCAGCGGGTCCCGGGGCCGTCGGTGCCGCCGCTCCCTGGGGGTGCCGGTCCGCGGGGCTCGCCGGGGAGAAGGTGTCGGAGGTGCCGTCGGGTCCCGCCGGGTGCGGGGAACCGGGGGCAGCCGGTGCGGTTCGCACCGCCCCGTCCCCTTTTCAGTGCCCGGCGCGGGGGCGCGGCCGGTGGCGGTGCCTGTGGGCGCTGCGGGGCTCGGCGGGACGGGACGGGGCGGGACGGGGCCGGAGGGGGGTCCCCTCCCCTCTCCCCGTGCCCTCCTCCTTTGGGGGGCAGCCGGTGCGCAGAGCGGCGGTTCCCGCTGCCCGCGGCGCTGCCGGCCCGCGGATGGAAAAGTTGTGCAAGCTGGCAGCGGGAGGTTAACTTGTACCCGAATATGCGGCAGCCCGGGTTCATCTGGGTCCGGGGACTAAACTTCGTGTAAGCATGAGGAGCAGCAAATAAAAACCCCATAAACAATCCCCTGAAAGCATAAGAAATCTCTTAAACCGGAGGTTTTATTTCTATTTCTTATACTCTCATACAGCTGTGCTATTAGGACACTTTGTAAAAACAAGCATTAATCCATACCTGAATATTAACTAGCTACGCAGGCAGTCATTCAGTCAATCGTCTTGATTTTCCCAGCTGGAAACTATTTTCCAAGTGGCCTGACTCTGTTAAATATTCACTTGATTTAGCCCATGATAACACTGAGCCACAGAGAAGGCATTAAATCACAGCGCAAGAGTGTCCCTGGGTAGATACTGTGATATAACAAGTGGCCCAGGAAGGTCTGATATGAGATTCCACCATCCTTACAGTCTCATTGCAAAAGATAAGCTATTCTTACAAGCCAGATAAGAAAAAGATAAAAAAGAAGCCATAAATGAGGCAGGATCTCAGGCAGAGTTAGAATTAGCATTCCCAGTGCCAGTTCATTGCTTAGGGAGTCTTTGACCACACTAAGCAACCAATTTCTCTTTAGCATTTCTTGCCAACAGCACAAGAGGTATGTAGCACTCTTCAGTTTAAGGTTTTGTACCATCGTCATTACTATGGGTCTTTGCACTGTGTACAGAAACTGCTCAAAGGCATTGCAAGCCATCGCGTTGACTTTCAGATGCCTTCAGGTGTTCAAGGAGTGAAATTTGTTATATACAAACATACTACTAGACCTCCATAAAATGTTTATATTGCTTTTAAAAAATATTTTAATTAAATGTTTGTTATTACAGTTTCACTGGTTGCTGAAAGATCTTTAACCTGCGCAGTTTACTGGATCACTGTGCACTTCAAACTGTCAGCCTTTTTTTTTTTCTTTAATTCCTTCTTCTGGGACAACACTACTCTTGTTTGAATTGCCACTGGTACAACTTTGAGTGAAACTGGGGTTTTTGGCATGTGCAAAAATCAGGTCACAGCACTCTGTTCATATTTTTATCAGACTTCTTTGGGGTGGAATTTTGAGGCTTAATTGTGTTCCAATGGTAATTTTTGTGTGGAAGTTTGAGAAAAAACATTTTGCTGGTTTCTTTCTGTTACAGAATCGTGGAGAGAAAGGAGGTGCTTTATGTATCACATTTTAATACATCTGTTTAATATATAACCAGAAAGTCATAGTTGTCAAAGCATTAATACAGCATAATCATCATTGAAACATCATCTGGTCTTTATTAGAGACCTTAAGAATTTCATTCGCAGAAGACTCTTATCTTTTTACGTTTTACATTCTTCTGCATTTTACAGACTCTCTTCTTCTTTTGCCTTTTTACAAGATTAAGCTCTTCATCAGTTTCTTGGCAGATCAAGTCTGAGCTAGTTCCTTTGATTCTCAGATCTTCTCAGAAGATTCCCAGATCTTCATGTCAAGATGATTTATGAATGATGATTTCCATGCTCTGGAAGTAGTCCCCGGTACATTGCATTAGATTATCTGGTTTAGCACTAAATTGTATGACTAATATCCACAGTGAAGATTAAAAGCTCAGGGCAAAGACAAACTAGAGGTCTGCAGGTATGGAATGTCATAGCCAAGGGCTAAGGAGTGATGGTTTTTATGGTTTCACACCTGAGCGAACACACGGTGTTGGGAGGCTCTGAAGGTGACATTCATTAAGCTGTTTCTTCTGAAGCAGCGAGTCTCTGCTGGCCAGGCAGTTGTCAGCCATGTGGGGAAAAGTCCTTGCTGTCCTTGGAATGGGCTGATCACTACTGCATTGCCATCTTCCAACCACCTGCTTTTTCTCTCAGGATTTTACACCTTTCCATAACAGTGTTTTTCCTTTTGAATCCTTGACCTGCGAACTATCCACATCTCAGAACTCCCCGCTACTGTTTTGCCTTTCTTATCTCGTGTGACTCCGTGTACTTTCTCATGACTGAGAGATTTTTTAAGACGTTTCTCGAAGCTGGTGCTATCACAACTAGGTCCTGGATCACAAACAGCTGAAACTGTGGGAGAAGGGGTAGACTACCCACATTAGGCTACAGCCCCATTTCTCAGGACAAACCTGCCAATGCTCTCTGGATACTGTCTCAGATTTGAAGCTACATTTGACTTCAACACCAATAAAGGACCCTAAAACCCACCAGTAAGTGGTGTTTTCTGTTGCCCTTTCCTTAAGCAAAAGCAGTGAGAAAAAATAGCTTTAGAGCAGGCTCATACAAGCATCTTGGGATGCATTATGCCAGGTCAGACCTGTCAAAATACAGGGCATATGGGAAGATCTGTTGTCACCCAGGTTCCTCTACCACGTGTCGGAGATGAAGGATCTAAAAATATCTCCATAAGGATGTTTTATGATCTGTTGGTGCTGTTGTGAAGTATTTGTCAGACAATAACTATGGGTTTCACTGGCAGTTCCAGTTCTGAACTTCCTCCAAAAATCATGTTAAGCATTCAGCGTTAGAAGATGCCAGATGATATCAACATTTGAGCTTTTTCTAACAAAGGTGAAATGGGTATAGAGGGCCAAATTCTGCCCGTTCTCATAAGCAGTGCCACTGGAACTGTTTGGGTAAGTGAGGAGGAAGGATTGGGCTCCTTGAGTGTACAAGAAGCCATAAATGATGAAATGGCTTCAGTGTCTGAAAAATAATCTTACGAGAATAGCTTGATTTCTCAGCCATTGGCAGAATCATAAAATATGTTTACATCTTAGTAAGAAAACTGCTAGAGAATCTCACGAAATCATACCAGTGAATAAATGTTCGTGATACCGCCTGTGATACGTGGACTGACAATTTGATGAAAGAGAAGTGATATTCCTTTACACCTCATTCTGGAAAGCAAAATGTCACGGACATACTGTAAGAAGTGAGGATTCAGAGTTGCCTCAGCCACTAGTGAGAGCAGCAATACCAATTATCGGAGAGTGGTTACAGAGGCAGCAAATACGGTGAGATTGACCTTGGAAAATGCAAACCAATATATTGTAGAGAAAGTGGTACTCAGGGGCAGGAAGAATCCTGCCAAACCGTGTATCTGAAGGATTTGTGGGTGACAGCAGATAGCTAATTAGGCAGCGCTTTGCAATACTATTTGGCAAGGAAGGACAGTCTGCTTGAAGCATGAATTTTCCTCTTTCCTTACTGTTTTGGTTTGGGCATGCCTTAAGCGTTACATCTGTTCCCTGGCAGAGGCATGATGATTTTAATACAGTCTCTGTGATTTTTTTTGTCTGAGTTTACACTTGAGATTCTGAAGTGACTATTTCCAATCAGTCCGTAACAGAGAGAAAAACGAACCAGGGATTTTTCATGGCTTCTCAAGGAAACCGAGTCCTTTTGTGGTCCATGGCTACAAGAACAAGTGGCAGCACTGGCACAGAGAGCAAGATCAGGTCATTAGGAGCTTTACCATAAAAATATGGGTAACAAGAATAGCTTCAAAAAAGCAGCATTAATTCAGTGTTTGCAAGTGAGCTTTCCTTGGACACCTGAATAAGATTTTCATGTCATGACTCAGGGAGAGGCACTATAGCTCCCAAAGTACCTGCGTTTCTTTACCT